AAAGTTGGGTTTGGTTTGGCTGAAGTGGGCAACGTAGTTTGAGCATTGGACATGTAGTACGTACGTACGTGTGTATGCGTTTGGTGAGTTTGACTCGGGGTTCCCTTTGGTTGATCTGATGTTGGGCGGACCTTGGATCGGATTGTGGGCGGACAGGCACCCACGCGGTGCAAAGAAGACGGACGGATGAGGTGATGGAGAGGTGAGTGGGGGAGAGAGAGTTCGCAGGTCGGGGTGGCCCGTCCGCCCGGCTTGGATTTTGCCCAACTACGCGGCTTCCGAGTCCGAGGTGAGCCGAGTTGTCGACTGACTTGATGCGTCCCGTTTGGGCGACCCCGGGGCCCGGCAAGGCACAAAAGACGTCGTCTGTCCCCTTAGTCAGTCGAACGGTGTTGCGGTTCGTTGAGAGGAAAAGGACATCTGCGTGGCGAACAGCTGTCAAGTTACTTAGAACAATAGAGAGAGGTGTTTGCTTAGCACGGGCAATTTTCTTTCTTGTCTCGGAGAGGACCCCCGGTAATGAGCCGATACTTGATGGGTTGAATGACTCTTGTATCGATATGCAACATGACGTTCAATGTACTTCACGATGACGATATTGACAACGACGACGGCTTCATTTGCCGGATGGGCCTCTGTATCAGTTTGCGGCCAACTCTTGTGTTATCGAATGCCGTATATTTGCATGTGTTAGCTGACTTGAGTGGAGTATTTGACTCGTGGAGAGCCTCTGGGTTTGTCGATCATGTTTCGTTGTTGTTGGTGTTGGAAGACTCGACGTCCTTGGAGCATGACTTGATATTCCCAAAAGGGGTCATTTACGTAGGTTCCGTCGATAGGGCTCAAAGACTTTATTGCTGATTCATAGCGACTATTGTTGAGAGAGCTGACGGCTTCTTATTGCGCATGAGGCCCTTGAAGCGGGAAGACATTTCCGTTCGGAGACATTACCATACTTGTATCTGCCTCGAACTTACCTCACAGCCATCCCTAATCATCTAAGAAGATCCAGTTGTGTCCTCCAAAGGCGTGGAATTAGTAGAAGAAAGTTTATCGCGGATACTCCCATGATCATGTGTTAACGTTACGAAGTGGGAAACATGGCAAGTTCCCTCGTCATCGAATGTGACCTCTTGAGATGTGGATGCGATATCCAGATGACGTGGTATTAGACTCCATTATTCAACTATCACTGGTGGTACTCGGTAGTTTACTCTGGCGGACTTTGTGTGATGGCATCATGGTATTCGGCTTCTTCCCCTATTCAAGGTTCAACTTTGGCCTGACTTGTGAAGCAATACGCTAGCTCCATACATTGAGTGTCAACTCTGCTTCAGAGAGCGATTGTTGTTCTATAATCAGACGAGTGCGAGTTCAGACTCTTTCTCTCGCCCACATACACACATTCTCTCTCGCACGCCTAACGGTAGTGATTTCGACGGACGCTACGAGCTACATCGAATCTCTGGGCAATGCGAGGTCCCTGGTTACCTTGAGCCCATGCCGCGAACGGAGACATGTGATTCGAGAAACGAAAGCTCAACATAAGCAATAGTTCCGAGATTAGACTTGGTGTCTACATGTACTTATCCGCAGACTTCTCTGACGGCATAGTTCGTGACTGGCTGGCCCGGGTAGCTGCATCTGAGCCATGCGTGTCTCTGTATCATCACATCGAGGCGAAGTGTATGACAGAGTAGAATGTGGCTTGAATCTAATTAAAGGTCCGGAACATCTCGGTTCAGGTCGTTTTTTCATGTCCTTCATCAGTAAGATGGAAGGCCTTGGCGAATGAATTGGGGTTTATACGGCACTCTTCTGACGCATCGGTAGATTTCTGCTTGTAGCGAACACTACGGCGTACAGCGAGACAGCCCATCGTTAAAGACCGTATCCATTGAATTTCATTGGAAAATCCTATGACGACCTTCATTGGGCAAGTTAAGGCTCCCTTTGAATGAACCAGAGGTCTATCGGCCGGACTTGGCCTAGATTTTGACATCAGAGTTCCGACGCCCCTCGGGTTGCCTTTTACAACCGGTAATGTTCGAGAAAAAATTTGACTAGAACGAGAACTTCAAAGCTTCAATTAACGCGGCTTTGCACAACATAGACCTGCAATCAAACGTGGGCTTGTCAGCTCATTCCCCAAGGGGGCACGTCTTCGCCGCCCCGCTGTTGCATCCATTCCCCGTGAGGCCTAATGGGTTCCATGCGTAATTGAAAGTTCAGCGATGATACAGACTATAACCACGGAGGTTCATACCTAAGATGTTCACACCGGGCATCAGCGTACGAGGCTTATATAGAAAAGCCCCAGGTATCAAACGGTACACAGGGAAGCAAAACCAGTCGATGCATAGAGACAGTAGCCGAATACCGGCAGATATCAGTCTGGGCACTAGAGATCAGGTTTATTCGACCTCTTTATGGGACAGTACTATCATCAAGGAAACGTACGAAGTATGGATGTCTCTTTCAATACAATATGAATGGCCGACATAGCTCGACGGACAGAGACAAAGCAAATTATGGATTTGATCAGATATTGTCATTGAAATACATCTGAATCAATGTACACATAAAGTGGCAACTCCAACCCACAGCGCCTGGAGACCGTTGATAAGAGCTCGAAGAGTTCCTGCTCTGGAACAATGGGCGCTCCAGCAGCCGACATCAACAAATGTCGCCTCGTGCGTACTCAAGGGGATGGGTCAAGACTTGCGGGACAACCAGCGGGTATGATGTTCTGATAACATAGAGAGCCACATAATGCTATATGTTCATCCAAGTAACGTCTCTTCTAGAGAAAGCATACCAACAAGTCGAAACATCGTCACCCACCGCCGCGGCCCTGAACTCCACACAAACCCACACAGACAGCATGCTCCTGAATCCACCAAAACATCAAAAACATACAACACCAGGTATTCGCTGGTCGTCACCGACCCAACTACTAATCCGGCCCTCATTGGCTTATCTATGGGAGAGCGGACGGGATCCCGAGTTTTCCAATGGGTATGGTCGTATGTGGTGGTTTGGCGATGCTAAGTTGAATATATAGTCAGAGAGGGCTGGGAGGCGGCAGCGCAGCGCGACCAACCCAGCAAGTCGATTAAAGCACCTAAGAGCATCAAGAACCATGCCGAAGTGCAATAATGTTAATAAGTGATAGGGGAAAAATTCAACTCGAGGAAAGTATTGCACTTGGCATCTCTCCATATAAGTGCGGATATATGGTTCTACGAGAAGTGCGTCCTCAACTTCGTTCAAGATTGCAGTTGCACACAGCCTCCACATTCATTATAGCAGCGTCCTTATATGCATATCCCCCATTCAACCTGAAAACAATAACGCTTGGAGCATGTTATCGGATCGTATATGTAGTAATTGGCCCTACATAGTGTTTGGAATGGCAAGATTTGCACTAACCATAGTTCCTGTGGCTCCCCGTGTACCGGCAAATCAACAATTATCTCTTTATTTTTAGAGAAGGATACTTGGAGACGTGGATTATAAGAGGCTCAGAGTCTGCATTAGGGGCTTCCTCGAAACAGGCGTGAGTGTGAACTTACAAATATCGACTGACGGGCTGTCCAGGACTGAGGTGGATACGAACTTCAACAATAAGCCAGCCTACGTCTTCATCGCCGTTTTGAGCCATCTATTGTGAGAGATCCTCCAAAACTTAGCATGCCTCCAAGTGTCACCTCACAGATCGAGAACCTGGTTTACTGGTTTGGATTTGCGCCAGGCTGAACTATCTCAGATGTGCGGATGTTGGCAGCACTTTATAGGTTGAAAGTAATATTCCCTACTACTGATCAATAGCGCCTTCGCGAAACAGTAAGCGGTAAACACATAGCCATTTTGTCGAAAACAGAGCCTCCCATCATTCGACCAAAGGAAACTAGATTCAGGGCTGAACATTAGCGAAATACACGGTCTCGGCTGTCACAAGCCTTTGACAGTGGATAAGCTTACGTGCGCCTACATACCCCGCCGACCCATCGTCAAGTGACCGAAGGGGCCAGAAGCCAAGTCAGAAACAGTGCAGTTGTGCTCTGCTTTGCTACTCGTCTTAATTATTACCCCGAAGAATTTCGTATTCATTACGAGAGCGACGCTCTATTGTCAACAGCTTCGGCAAAGCACATGGAAAACGACGTTCTTCCTTGTGTGCAATAGAGGCATCTGCATGAACTTCCAATCTTAACTGTCAATGTAAGGCTTATAGAGAGGCCCAAATTCGACAATCAAGCTGGGACGATGTTGGTAGCTAGGGGAGATCTAGGTAGAGCATCCCATTGAATGTCTGCGTGCTTTGACGAACTCCAGAAGAAAGAGGGGAATCGTGAAGTAGCTGAAAACTCACCCACGCCACTATCCTCATGAAGCCAGTCCATGCGCCTACTATCTGTCTTTCATAGTCTAGTTCTCCCAGAGATACCTTTCGGTAAGGGCATCCTGCCACTTGTAGTTCGCGATGAATGCAGCTTTCCCACGGCTATCAAGCACTGGCGCAAGCCGCTGAATCCTGTCTCCATGAAGGTGATCGAACAAGGAATGCAATAACTTCCTTCTACGGTGGTATCAAGGCTCAAATGCTCAAACACCAATCATCTTCTAGCTCCCTTTTCGACAAACTCCCATGATACAGAGGCCGATGGGGAGCGACTAGACAGCCCGAGCTGATGCTTGCGGTACTGATTGAATCCACGACACCAGACACTTGTTATGGCGTGAAGTGAAAGAGAGCAGTAGTAGAAAGAATATTGATTATGAACTGCGTGGCCTTTTAGTAAACGAACTCGGTCAGCGGCCACTAAATCACAGATTCTATAAAGGGCTCAAGAAGACCCCAACCGGTTCGCGCATATCACTCGCCGTGTCATATCGATTGGATCAGACTATCCAACCAAGCCCATCCATCCGACGTCAATCATTAGAACTTTGTTGTCTCAGTCTTCAATCAGCTACCACCAGACTCCGAATTCAAGATGGGAAACTTCACCATTACGATCAAGAACCAGTCTAACAATCACCGCTCTTTCCTCCTATTCCAGGGCCTTCCCAAACCAAACACCCTCGACCGGAACAATGTCTTCGCCAATATTTACCAGCAGTCTCCTGCAATTGACGGTACGGGCGATGCTCGTACCACTTTCTCCATGGAACAACGTTACTTTGCCGTCTGTGGCACCGCACAACCGACTAGAGATGGCTTTATGCGTGTAAATACCGCAGATACTGTTCCTGTGAGGCTTGGACCTAATGGAACAAGTGCCGCGGTAACCGGTATGGGTGGCTACCCAACCTGGGACCGTAGCCGAATGACAGACGTGACCAACGCTCAGGGTGCCTTGGAAATTCGCACCGACAATACCTTTGAATTATCTAACCATAGTAAGAGCAGCTGCATCATGAAAATCAGCTTGAGCTTATTGTACTGACCGATTCTCAGATAGAACTTACATTGGTTGCGGTGCCACCGACCCCAGGACGGGGGAGGTAGTTCCTATTCAGTCTTGGCCCGCGCAACCAAACACCGTTGCCCAGGTCTTTCCAAGGCCCAAATACTTCATCGCAGTCGGTCGTTTTGATCCTGGTGTCATTGTTGACGGGAGGACTCTCGGCCAAGTTCTGGAGGTGGACTTCACTGGCGCATCCGTCCCCAGCGCAACCTCTACTCTTACAAACAATGGCACGTATGAAGCTGACGAAAAGGTCGAGCTGAATGGCGTTAAGTGGACATTTGGGAACATCGATGAGGCCTGAGAACGTAAATTAGATCGTAACTAGCGAAAGAAGCAATTTTCTTGTTTTGAATCGCATCGCGGGTTTGAGAGCCCCTATATTATTGTTCAGTGGCAGGATTCTGTCCATCCCTTCTTCAAGATGCATCTGGACCGGCAAATGCAACACGGGGAGATGAAGAGGTCTCCCAGTGCCATCGCATCTAACCCCGTCCCATTATGCCTTGGTCTTTCGCAAGCAGTGAATTCATTAACTGGAGGAGCTGCCCGAGAAATACATGGTGAGCTGCAGTCCACGCTGCTTACCGTTGCCAATTGCTGTGCTCGCCTGAAAATCAAGTTGATATGTATCCTGGTTGTCTATGAAGACTCTCTGTCTTTCGTATTCTGTTGACAGACCAGGAACATCACTTTCCAGCAAGCCCTGTGATATCAAACAACACAGTACCACCACTCTATCAATCCTTCTGACGACCAGAATACCACAGAGAACAACATGGGTCTCGCGACACCTGCTTCTGAGAATGACTTTGGCGACCTCAACACCAACCTCACGACATCTTTCGCCACGGTGATAGACAAGCCCAGGAGGTTCCTTTTCGTCATGACGGACCAGGTCCACGATTAGTAGACGGTCAATGTGCACAGCCTCAACGTGGAGCCAACTTCCTTCTTCCTATTTCCATCACCCCTGAAATGCACCTCTAGCGATTCAAAGTCAGTGTTCGTCTGTGTGTACCAGAAAAGCCAGATGATCTTCAAGAAGGGCCCAGCGCTGTCGATTATGTCTACCTCGGAACATCGTGTAGTGAGCTACAGTACGTTGGAGAAGGCTAGGATTCGTATCGTGTGCGAGTCCTTCGGCAATACGTGATGGGATTCTTAGGCTGCCGGTGATACTCCAGGATATTCTTGACGTAAACGATGGATTGACCTCGGCTCTGTCTACCGAGAGATGGAGAGATGAAACGGCCGTTCATCAGACTCGCGGCACCAGGTATAGGAGGAACAGGCGATGTGCCAAGCATTGAGTAGAAAGTAGTCCCGAACGATGCTCTCGAATTGGCGTCACTATCTAACAAGTGGTTGATTGCTAGTTTCACCTGTGATGAGCGAAGAATGCTGGATCTTGGTTTACGAGGGCCTTCTAATTGGCAAGAAGTCGAGTCCACCGAGGACGGGGGGGGGTGGGGGGGGTACACATTAACTAAAACCACACTGATAGCTTTTCGTTGTCTGGAAACGGATAGGACCGTATTTGACATACTCAAAGGCAAGAGAGTCCATTTGTCGAAGGGCGTGTCGTTGAAGTGGCTCGACACGTGACTCGCAAATCGAGACATGCGTGAACATCTGTTGCTATTTACTTGCTTATGAGCTCGCCAACACCAACAACTCTCGCCGGCGAGGACGTCATGACCAAGAGTACGAGGGACAACCCTCCCCCCCCCCCTCGGTGTAGGAGAAGATACGATAGGACGGAAGCTTCTTAGGAGAAGGTATTTGCTTGATGCCCGGTCTCGCAGGGGCTGGGAAGACAACTCACGAGATCTCACACATGCCCGACAGATGACCCAACCTCTCCTAACATCAACAATGTCCGGAGTCATCCCAAACCAACCTGGAGGGAGTAAAACAGTACTGTGCGAGTTACCAACCCAGTAATCAACGACTTCATCTGTCCGCCCGTCCCCTCAAGCAAAGACCAACTCCAAGGGGGCCAACGAAACGTCTAAAGACATGTCGTGCATATCGTCTCGTGAAAAGAGTAAGCCCGCATAATCTTTCGTGCTCCAGTCCAAGGAGAAAAGACACAACGTACAGACGGCGTCGGGGAAAAAAAAAGGCATCTTCTCAGTCTTGACCAAGGGTTGGTCCATCCGCACCACCCCTTGGGCCCCCTCGGGCATCTCGCGTTATCGGTACACCCGGATGAGAGGACCGCAAGATTTCAAGGGGTTTGAGAAAGTGTGCGACTTGAGCGATCGACCCGTGTAATCAGGAAAGCGTGAATCAGAAAAAAGCTGGGACACGGGAGAAAATCGTCTTCGTCATCCATCAGGAACATCCATCAGGATGTCGTAAGGAATACACATGAATAACGGCTAACAAACCGCATAGAAGGGGGAGGGGGGGAGGGGAAGGGGGTAAGCCCGACGTCTCAATGCCCTCATGCCTAAACTCTCATCCCGGGATTCCCGCTTCTCGCCTTTTTCGCCTCTCCTTCTCGCCGCCTCGCGCCCACCCTCCAGGTCCTTCCTCCTCCTCCTCCTCCGTCGTCCCGACTCGAGAGGGAAAAAAAAAAACGTTGCCTGTGGACGGATCTTGACCGTCGTCAAAAAGGGTGGGAACATGGACCACCAACCCACTCATCCTGCACGGCGTTCCCAACAACGCGGGAGAAAGTCCGGAGGTCGGAGAGGTGCGGTGGAGAGAGAGAGAGAGAGAAAAGAGGAAATCAAAGGCAAAGAGAGAAGGACGGCTTACGCATGAAGCGGTCCGAGTGTCTGGTGGTCAGAAACAGCCGTAGTTGCGGAAAAGGTTGAACCTTTGCAGGTTAGGCCCAATGGGGTGTTACATCTCGGACGGGAAGCAAGGGTGTCCAGGGTTTCTTCAGTTCTAGGACTCTTGGGGCCCTGAGGTGTGCTTTTTCCGCCTTGTAATACAGATCGGGCTGAAGGATCCTGTCTCCCAGAGGCTGAACTTTCGATAATGGCACACTTGAGAAGATTGGCAGTAGATGAACATCATGTTGATTTTGGAAGGTGAAGACATGTCACGATGGAAGGAACTTGCAGATTTGTTTAACTTGTTCAGATTTAATTGAATTAACCGACCGACCCTTGACCCGATCAACGCCACAACAATGAACATGATGGTCTTTTTGTTACATTATAGAAAACTGCTCGTGAAAATGGGTCATTAGTGACAGTCGTGTTGATGCCGCCAAATATTACCAAGCGCGTCATCTAGAGGTTGGTGTGTCCCTCGCCTTTCCCTTTCGGCTGGTCTTTCTCTCTCTTCCTCGCACCTAAGAAGATCATCGCCTTCTTCTTTCTCTATAGTGGGATATGGAAAAAAATGATTTCAGAAATGGATTTTTTGTTGTGAAACTCGATGCCGTTCAAAACACGCTTTGTTTGTGACTGCTCTGCCGCGCGCGCTCCTAATAACATGATGTCTAATTTTTGTGTTGATTTTTTTGATTTCTTTCATGTTTTGGTCGAAACTCTCCAATGCTCGACTCAGGACGTTTAGCCCTCCTCGACGACGGCGCGGTTGGCAATGTAGAAGCGCTCGCCCTTGTCGTCCTTCTCGTGCTCGAGGGCGACCTTGCTCAGCTGAGTGAGGACGTTCTCGATGAGGGTGTCGGTGACGCTGCGCTTCTTGCGGCCCATGTCGTTGAGGACCCGGAGGTTGGTCAGAACGTAGTAGACCAGGGCCATAACGATGGTGACGGCGACGGAGTAGACGAAGACGACGCAGACGGTGACGAAGTCGGTGCGGCCGTTCTCGGACAGGAACTTGTTGAGCGAGGGAGGGGAGGCGGGTTCGCCGCGGCCGCCAGAGAACCAGCCGAAGACGCAGAAGAGGATGGACAAGACGTCGACGGCGGCGATGGCACCGATGAGCTGGAAGGAGGGGAAGGTGTCGAAGCCACGGGTGACGAAGATGAGCCAGTTCTGGGTGAGGGAGATCTCGAGGAAGAGAATCTCCTGGACGGAACCGTAGTCGTGGATGACACCACCCTCGGTGATGTACATGGTACCGCGGAGAATCCAGGTGCCGGCGGCGAGGAGGGAGCCGAGGACGATGGAGATGATCCAAATCTTGGGCAATTGCCACTCGACGGGACGCTTCTCGAAGTGGGCATTGTCGTACTATTGATGTTATTAGTGACTTGAAGCAGGTTTGTTGTATGAGACATATACTTACAGCGACAGCAATGGTGGCCAAATCAGCGAAGAGAGCGAGGAAGACAATCAAGTCGGCGCGGACAGTCTCGTTGATGATGATCATGGAGGTGACCAGGTAGATCTCCAAGTGCAGGCAAAGGGCGATACGGTACTGGATGTAGGCCTTCATGCGCTGGAAAATCTGGCGAGACAGCTTAATGGCGGAGACAATGGTGGAGAGACCGGGGGCAAGGAAGACGATATCAGCGGCGGCCTGGGCAGCCTCGGTGGCACCCTCGACGGCAATACCGCAGTCAGACTTCTTCAGGGAGGGAGCATCGTTGACACCGTCACCAGTCATGGCAGTCAAGTGACCACGCTGCTGAAGCATCTCGACGACCTGGTACTTGTGCTCGGGGAACACCTCAGCGAAACCGTCGGCACGCTCGCAGAGATCGTGGATGGAAGTGCCAGCCATGTCGGAGTGAAGAAGCTTGTCGGAGTTGTAAACCTTGGTACCGAGCTGAAGCATGCGGCAGGTCTCGACGGCGATGGCGTGGGCGTCACCAGTGAGCATCTTGACCTGGAGACCAAGAGCCTGGGCCTCGAGAATGGTTTGGCCGGTATCAGAACGAGGGGGGTCGAAGAGGGACAGCATGCCGAGCATCTCCCAGGGACCATCCTCCTCCTTGACGGCGACGGCGAGGGAACGGAAACCACGGCGAGCGAACTCAGCCGCCTTCTCCTTGAAGAGAGCGGACTGCTCCTCGGTGCAGTCGGTGAGGGCGAGAACGGCCTTGGGAGCACCCTTGGCGCAAGTGTAGCGGACACCACGGTGGGTGGCGATGGTGGTGATACGCTTAGAGACGGGGTCGAAGGGAGTGAACTTCTCGGTCTTCCAGCCGTCAGAGATGAGCTCCTTGGCCTTGGGGTAGCGCTTAAGGGTGAGGACGGTGATCTTGTCAATGGGGTCGAGAGCCTTGATGTTGTGGGAAGAGGCAAGGGCGGCGACGGCCATCATCCAGTTGATGTCGACTCCCTCCATGACGAAGGGCTCGCGGACGGACAGCTGGTTGGCAGTGAGGGTACCGGTCTTATCGGAGCAGAGGATGTCGACACCGGCAAG